TTTAAAGCTGAAGCTACACGGATTAGAGAGAAGTCGAAACAGACGTGGAGATCCTAAGGATCGAGCCGTGGACCTCAAGCTCTAAAGGTCGCGCACTAACCAACTGAGTTACGCCTGCTCCTGATAATAGCTAATAATAGCTATACTTTTTCTTCTCTGCAGCAAACGAAGTCTTCTTGGTGGACAGAGGCAAGGCCAAAAATCAAATAAAATTCAGATGTTAGAGCTGTTAGTGAGGATCACTGGATCAAAAGAAAAAGTGCGCCAATCAAAGCTCCTAAAACCACACTGATTACCAATATTATAAGCAATGCCATTAATTTCTCGACTCATACGTGCTCGAATACCACCCAGGCCCAGTTTTGGCGTAGATACTATACGTGTATTGAGATTAGTGCCCAGCAAGAATTGTACTCTCGAGCACCGTCCTCAGCAACCAAATGCCAGTATACACCTAGTGGTAAAGTGGCAAGTTATAACATAATTTTTCACATCACACTGATTATTGCGTCCTAATAATATTGATTTATTATAGAAGAAAACTTAAGAGTTTAAAATCATGCATTTGTAAATTCATCTGTACTGGTAAATATCGTTAGTTCACTATTTATCAAAATTGTATTCATTCAAAGTATTGTTGGTGTTTTGTATGCAACTGATAGACGAACAAACAAAGAATAAAAACAACCAATATCTGGTTGCTCGAAAGTAAGATATATTAGGAAAGAATATTCCATTGCTGTTTTGGGGGGGGGGGAGAGGGTTGACGTCATATTGAAACGCCAGAAATAAAGTTTGCATTTCATTATCGAGTTTCATCAAGCGAAAGTCAATAATATTCAGCGTTTGGTCATTTTCCTAAAACCTTCGCTCACGGCATAGAATAGATAGAGATTAGTTCACTACATCATTTGTTCGGTGTAGCGTGATGGAATGGTATTCATGTCATGTAATGACTTGTCCTGCTAAGATCGCGTGACTTCTCAACCATACCAGAATCTCGATAGCTAATGGACACCCTAATTAATGCTAAAGTAGTGATCTTGGGCAAAACCAACTCTGGCAAGTCCTGTTTATTCGAGAGATATTTACACGACAGATATATGGAGAGCACTGAACCGGTATGTACCAATGATAAATCAGTAGATTGAAATACTCAACACGAAACGACACCAAGTAAACTATTTTCCGAGAAGGAACTGACGGTAAAACACTGATTTTACCTTAACGAAACCCGGCCAAAATCAAGTTCAAATACAAATTAGATTCTTCCAAGACAAATTTTAACTAAACTGGCATTAGAAAATTGGTTTAGAAAAACCAAATATATCCTTTCTAATTTGCATAGGTATTCATTTTTCCTGCTAGTAAACAGGAAGTCATAAAGTTCAGTTCAACATTTGTGTTGGTTTGTGGTTATGGGTAACCTGTGTTGTCTGTGTTATAGACAATAGGAGCAGCGTTTGGAAGCAGAACTGTGAACGTTGGCAATATCAGAGTGACCCTTGGAATATGGGTAATACTAAATAACGCTTAATTTTAATAAGCTCATAAACAGTAATTTATAATGCAAAATAGAAAAACAAAATAATTTAGGCAATTTTCCTTCTTAGGATACAGCAGGATCAGAACGTTACGATGCGATGAGCCGTGTATATTATCGCGGTGCTAAAGCTGCAATCATATGTCATGGTACGTACGTGCCTACCTGCCTTCCTGTAGTACAGGGGCTTTCATTCTATTTTTCTATTTCTAGACCTCACTGAAGAGAATAGTTTTCATAGAGCAAAATATTGGGTGAACGAGTTGCAGACATACGAAGAGGTGAGCACTATCGTATGTTCTTTAAGTTCTTTTTGATTGAATTTAAATCGTTCTTATTTGTGTGTGTAGTCTTGTAAGCTATATCTGTGCGGAACAAAGCAGGATCTTTTCAATGCAAATAACGCAGAAGGAAAATCTTTAGCTGCAGCAGTTCAACAGTACGCAGAAGGTTAGTCAGAGCTCCTCTTCAAAATCCATTCTTTTTACTATACTAAAAGAAAATGTCTTGTCGTTATACTGATGAACAAATAAAATACTCATATTATAACTCTTTAGAAATCGATGCTAGAGTCTTCGAGACATCGAGTAAAACTGGTTATGGTGTAGGTAAGAATGAATCAAATCAGTATATCTACAATATCTTCAGCATATTTTTAAAGGAAAATAATTTGTGCTCACAATTTACAGAAAGATTGTTACGTATCGTAGCTGAAGACTGCGCTAAAGAAATCCCCGATACTACAGGTTGGTGAAGCTGCATCACTGAATATCAACATCAAGATTAAAATGTTCTCATACTTATTTATTCTTTGGTTCTAGATAAAAACACATGCGATGTAAAAGCAGATTGCTCTGAACACGAACCGTCCAAGAAAACACGTTGCTGTGCTTGACCTATCGAGTATTCAGTACTCTTGATAGAATACACGTTTTACGACCTGTATTTATAGCGCGAAACTCAAAACTGTGACTATCATCCTCCAAATAGCGATTAAATCAAAAATAAGATAAGACGATCCTACGATGAATATTGAAAGAAGGCAGGGAGAGAAATATGCGAATACATTATTAGTAGTCATACTTTTGGGCGTCGCGATGTAAAATACAATGAAGACACAAGACCATCATGAGTTTCACGTGCCGAGCAAGTTTAACATGGCCAATGCTGTTGAAGTATTATTATCGTATTTAAGGAAATAAAAGTAAAATATAATTATTTTATAGCGTATAGAATCAAGCGTTTCAAAACCTTTTACAGCAAATGTTGCGGGAAAATAGTGTTGTTCAATTGAAATGAAAACAAAAACAAAACAAAAACGGTTGAAATGGAAATTTAAAAAAAACGGATTTCAGACGTAATGACCTCCCGAAAACCTTTACAAAATCAGTTGTATAAGTCCACTGAGGGCTTGTAACCGATTCACTACAGTAGAAGATACCTGGTGTATGTACATGACTATCATGATGTCATGATGCTTAGTCCTAATTAGTCTACAAGTAACATCTGTAAACCAACTCCACACACTCCTATAGTCGTACATCTACCGTTCTCCTTCCTGGAATCAGAAAAGTTTTCCAGTTACAAGAAGTATTTTTAACAGTAAAATCACGCTAACAGTGTGTATGGCATACCATGTTTCCCACGTCTCAATGGCTTGTACATCAGGTACGTCGACAAACTCCACTTTACTCAGTCTGATAAACTTGTTATTCGTTGTACTGTCCTACAGTTGTAGAAAATAATAATAATAATAATAATAATAATAATAACAATAATAAATAGGTACTTATAGGGCGCATTTCTAACCTCAACAACGCATGTATATGTGATTAACTAAAAATAATGTTTTTGAAATAAAAATGTCTTAAGTTTAGCTTTAAAAGTTTCTAYTGTTTCTGCTCTTTTAATGTGCTCAGGAATTGAAGAATTGAAAAAACTAATTCAGAGCGAATTTTGGACAATTTTATTCTCGCTCGCTTCTCAAAACTAGTGCGTCAGTTTAACTGGATTTTTCAAGTAATGTGCTTGGATTACCCTAGATTCTAACAGAATATTTTAAAATCAAACAGTGTTATTTTTAAGGGGGACTAGCACGAAAATTTTCCGAAATTTAATTCGGCTGAAACTTCAATTAAATAATCTTTAAGGGTTTAATAATCACTGGTTAAAGTTTTTCCTTTATATTTCAATTAGCCTGCGTCACATCCGGAATTTTCTTACGAAGAAAATTCCGGATGTGACGCAGCTATGTTTCAATGGGAAGTATTATATTTTCACGAATTTCTATAGGTGTCTGTGACGTCATACACTCAACACTAAACATCGCTTCATACATTTCTTTGTAAATAACTTCATGTTTTACTCTAACCCAAAGGTCCGCTGAGGGACTTAACGTACATAACTTGTGGTTCGAGTCGTTTTATGATATTTTTTCTTCAATACTGAGTATAAAACTAGCGGATATTTTGATTACAAAATATAAAGAAAATGTATGGACCGATGTTTAGTGTTCAGTGTTTGACTTCACAGACTCCTATAAAAATTTGTTAAAATATAATACTTCCTATCCGAATATCGGGGAAAAACTTTAACCAGTGATTATTAGACCTTTAAGGGTTATTCCAGTAAAGTTTCAGCTGAATTAAAATTTGGATGATTTTTTCTGCTAGTCCCCCTTTTCCTAGAAGATAAGATTCTGAAAATTTCAGAAAAACCGTACCTGAGGATGATGAGAAAAACGCCAAAAACTAAAAATAGCACTGTTTGATTTTCGGCCGTAATAGGCTAAACACTTAAAAATCTTATAATACAATACACTGTTAGGTCTAGGATAATCCAAGCACATTATATGAAAAATCCAGTTAAATCGACACACTAGTTTTGCGAAGTGGCAAGAACAAAATTGTCCAAAATTCGCTCTGAATTAGTTTGGTTCCACCTCTGTCAAAAGTAAACTAGACAGTGATTGTTAGGGAGTCGCCGTTCAAATATCTTGATGGGCCTTACCTCGTTTGAATCGATATTCCAAAGTTTTAGTCGCTGGTCCGTAGATGATGATACTATCCTGCTAGAATCTATTATTCTAATGCCTGGAAGAAGATAGCCAAAAAATAATTATCCAACATTCATTATCAAATAGCAAGACCTGACTGAGATATACCTGTGACGGAGGACGTATGCGCTGATTGGACAGTTTCTTCTCTTATCACGACTATACCACGTGATCCACTTTCTGCTGAACAAAGATTTAATTCTGCCACGAACAAGCCACTATCATCTCCGCCGCTACACAAAACGTAACTCGCACAACCTTGACAAGAAACAAAAATAAAGTAAATATAAGCAAGGCAAGGGATTTAAACGTTGATGAAGGGGGGAGAGGGATAACAAGACGAGCAGACAAACAAGGGTAGATGTAGCAATTAAATATGGAATCAAAATGTACCTTTATGAATGGAAATGTCGTTTACTCCAGATTGATGTGCTCTGAAAACATGTATAGGTCGACCCAGTGAGTTTTCAGCTGGAGTTATACATGAGAAATTGTTTTTTTCATGTTCCTCTACCAAAGAATAGCAACATAAATGTCCTTCAGTACAATTTTGTACCAATTCATTCCCATCTTCCCGATGTAAATCGGACTTGTTTGTTGTAGCAGCATCGTCTGCTTCTTCAGCAGCATCTTCATCTCGAACGTATTCAATGAGGTGATCAGTAATATCCCACACAGAAATTTTGCCTGCAGTGTCGCCAGCAAATATCAAGACACTATGACGTCCCGAAAAGTTGTGATGAATCAGATGGTTTACCGTCAGAACACACCGTTGTAAGTAATCAGATTGTGCGAGAAGAAAGAACTTGGAGTTCTTTTCATCGAAGATAAAGATCCTAGGAAATAAACGTCAAGAAAAGTGTGAATGTACAAGGGAGTAGCCAGGGAAGGCCAAGAAGTTTTTCTGGGGGGGTTCGGTGTTTCAGGGTCACAAACAAAAGGACATTTTTTTCTACTTTGGGTCCCCTTCTCACCGAAAAAATCCTGGCTACGCCCCTGATGTATTGTTCAACAACAAGTCAATGAGACTGATTTATACTTGCATGGGCACTTGAAAACTTGTGAAAGAAATATGTCAAAACACTTAATATTACCTGACAAACCCATCAGAACAAGCGGCAGCTATACCATACAAATACCAAGACTTATCTTGAAAGCTCTCGTCGTCCAAAATAACAGACATAGACAACGACGTTAAAGACATAAAGCGAATCTCTGAGCAGATGTTTTGGCCAAGTTGTCTTCTGCGTTTTCTTCTTTGGTTGCTGGATCGAGACGAATACTCGCATATGTGAGAAACTGGCGGACTCGAAGCCACACACTCATTATCAAGGATTTTAATAGCTGAAAGATCTACTCGCCAGCATCTGAGAGATGCTCTTCCTCCTCCGGAAAACAGTAAGTATTTCATGGAACAGTCGGTCCCCTCGATAGTGGTCTCTCCTGTGTCTTCTTGTTTCTGCACACGTAGTCTACATCTTGTAACACTTAATGTTCGTATGCTAGAAATATGTCCTTGTGCAGTGAACACCTTTGTTAAAAAATCAACGGTACTGTTATCTTAAGACTTCTTAAGGAATAGAAACAACAGAAGGTTTGCAATACGTTACAATACAATTTATTCAAAACTAAAACTATTTTAGAAAAGATACATGACATCATATTTATGGTGGTGTCTTCACTTCCTGTCAGGAACACATGGTGCCGAGGAAATCCTGCATCAAAACCAATAATAATAGACCTCGCTTGTTAGTACTAACTGCTACCTACAGGTTGGCTTAGCATCGCGGCGGGACTTTCGTGAGTGCGGGATGTCGCGGTTCAAGTCCCGGCCGGACCAGCACTCAGTGCCTTTGTAAAGCTATCCACACAACTACTGAGGACCTTTTTTAGGAATTCTGAAGTTAGTGCAATAAAACTTGGCAAAGCATTAGCCTACGGGCATATCTCAAATAAAGTATTTCAATATATTCTCTTGATAAAATTGACGAGAATCATGGCTTACCTTGTTTACCAAGAGGCAGACTATCAACGTAGCACAGGCAAGTTGCTTCTCGACCATGAAAACCAGTCTAATACGAACAAAACAAATCAGCACTAGAAAAGAAGCAACGGAAAGCCCGGCATCCATGGTCGGGATTTCAAAGTGAAGTGCTCTACTATAAAAAAAAGTACAAAATCCACTTTTTACCGACCGCACCTCCCAAGTGAATTCAAAACAAGCCACTAACTGTACTAACTGTTTGAAATGGAATCCATCATAATGAAGCATGCCAAATGCGTATGTAATCTTTAGTTCATAGCCGTTTTCAAATTTGTAATGACTTAAGTAAATTGATAGAATTCAGTATTATCAAAGTCTCTCAAACTCATTGTTATTTTAGAGTGCTAAATCCTGTTCTACAAACCCTGCAACCAGAGATTGAGAGTGGCATTGCAAAATAGTGGATGAACATTCCACATGTATCATCACAAAAAGCATGTAGCATTTTGGCCTCAGCTTCTATATTCTATATTTTGCTATTAGGTGTAGTATCTACCATGCATATACATGAAACACTGTCACAAACAAACTGCAGACAGGACTTCATAACCTAATACCGGAAATGTTACCACTACGTGATCTTCCAATCCAACTGATTACCTGTAATACAGGTTTCGCTATGGAATTCCTCAGCTGTTCCAAGTGCACATTTATGGAGTTTCCCTTCAAATACGTAAACACAGCTTCATAATTTTGTGATTCCTACAACATAAATGGTTAATTGATCATCAGTATCAGTTGGCTGCAGTGTTTTCTAAGTCTCTTGTAGAGAAGTGAACTACCTACTTACGGGATTTTGGTTCAGCACAAAGTCCCAAGCCCGATGTCCTCCACCACACTTCACTTTGAATACAGGTTGGTTTCTTTCAACACTCCATACCACGAAATATGCCTGGAACCAGAATATTGAAGGAAAGCCGGAAAAACCCCTTTGTTTAAAGGACTAAACAATAATCTTGAACTGACAAGGATCACATACACCAAGCCGACTAAACTAACCGTGTGAAATCCTGCTATGACCAGGTCCCCATTTGCAAGAAATATCAGCTTTTCAACCCATTCTAATCCTTTGAATACCTTTGGCATAAAATAAAGAAATATTTGCGATTGTAATGGGTAAATAACTGAAGACAGATGCAAAACCTCAAAACAAGGAGAAAGAACAGCAGAAAGAATGAGACAAGACAAAAACGTTCTAGGGAAAATCATTTCCATTCATTTTAATTCGATCACAATATTTAGACTAGTGTTCACAACTGAAAAACATAGCAGAACCTAAAACATAAAAAAACGACCTCGCCTTTTCCTTCTTTTCTATGACGACCGAATCCCTAAGATATCTACCACTCTACCTGCATTGTGTACCAACTGAATACATTTTGATTAACACATTCAAAAAGCAAAAGTTTAGTACCTTTTTGGTGTCGATCACTTCTAGTATAGAATCCAAGAGTCTGTATTGACGATATGTTCCATCTCGACCAGCGGAGTATAGACTGTTGTCGTGAGCACACAGTTGCGTGACTCCAATACGTCCATGTATAACCGGTAATGAATGGACTGGATCTAGGACCTTATTATGCAAAATACAAACACAAATCAAATAAAACCCCTTATTTCATATAAGGATGTCTAGTGATGATTATTTACAACCACAATTATTACCTCATGTTGGGTGATTCTTCTAGCATCGAACAAGTGAAGAGAACCCTTTCTATCACCAAATACTATGTGACAGTTTCCTACTTTTCTTTCTCGTTTTGTTGACATCTTATCTTGATCCAACACCTCTACAGCTGATGGCCACCGTTGTTTTGAATAAGGAATACAAAATGTACGAACTCGTACCATTTGCAATACTTGCTGACTATCTTTAAACACATGCCACCAAATAATGATTCCTTCAGGTCCACAAGAGAAAAGACTGTGTGAAGCAGTTTGAACAGACCAAAGTAGACTTAAGACTTTACTTGTGAAAGGTTTCACTTCTTTAGCATCTAAGGAAAAACCTGAAAGAAAATATTACTGGCATATACTTATCCAAATTTCTAAAGAAGACTCAATCAAGAAACTAATGCAGCATTTTTATCTGAACATGAAAATCAAGATACAAAAAAATGCAAACATACTTGTTTCCTGGACTTTGATGCTTCCCTGCAAGTTCCCAAATGCTACATACTTGTGATCAGAAGATACTGCCATTAAACTGTATGACGAATAGTTTGGGTCATGCAACAACAACTTCCATTCATTGGATGTCCACTCTGCCATGGAATCTGAACCTTCTGGCTGGTGATCCAATGTATTTCTAGTTATGGACTTTGCTGTGTTTCCTGGCTTCTCTCTCCAAGTATATTCATACAAGTAACTGAAATGGAAAACAAATTTGCAGATTTGGGTTCCTGATGTATTTGGTGTGTTGAAGAATGATTACACAATTCTGGAAGCAAAGCACCCAAATGTATACAAGAATGCACAAAAATAAGACCAGGTTGTGTTAGTACTGATAACCATCAACTGGCTTTCCAATATCAAGGGGTTAATTATGTTCTGTCCACTTACAATGTACAAGTCTACACCTTACAGTGTGCCATCTCAAATTGTAAAATCTTATTTCTAAACTGTAAAACAATTTGTTTAAATTAGAGTATTTCAGGTATCAGCCAATCAGAAGATTATATTTGGAGGCAAGAAATGTACCTCCACCTGAAATCATAACTCTGTTTGGAGAAGAATGAGAAAGCATTACATTTCTCATCCAATCAGACAAAGTTCAAATGTAAGGTCTCATTTCTGCCATGGCTGGTAGAAACAGGCAGTACATACTTCCCAAAAGAGTGATGTGTTGTTCTGTTCTTGGATTATACATGAAATAAAGTCAATTCAATTGGAATGATGTAGCTGCAAGAGCAGATCCAGGATTTTTTTATAGGGGTTTTTCATTTTACGATGAAGTTCACAAACTTTCAGGTTAAGCAAATACTGTATTGGAGGGGTGAAAAGGTTGTTTATGTAATATCATACCCTTCAGATGTCATTATTAAAGACTTTTTATGTGTCACCAAAGAAACAGATCTTGGAGAGTCGACAGTTATTCCACCCTTCTTGTTTAGTTTCAACTGTTCTGCTGTCCCTGGTAAAAAAGCTTGTGCTGTGACCATGGATTCCTTGCTATTGATGTCCTCCAAGGAGAAAAGTCGAATACTTCCATCTCCACCACCAGTAGCAATTACATGTTCATCTTTAGATATGGCTAGACTCCAGATACTTCTACCTATAGGACAGTAAGGGTACCTTTACTATTACTACTCATAACAATGACAATATTGATGGGATGATGATGAGAATGATGAAAATGAGGATGGTGATGATGATGTTGATAAATTTTACCTTTGTGTCCAGAAAATGTTTTCACAAGTTTCCCATCATAATTCCAAACATTACACACTGCATCTTCTCCAATGCTCACAAGAAAATTTGTTAAAACCTTTGCATCCCATACTCTTGCACTATGTCCATACAATATAAGTAAAAGTTGTACTTCTCCAGTAAAATCTAGGCCAGCGTGTGTTAGTTTCCATAAACGTATACTTCTGTCATCAGATACTGATGTCATTAATGTTCCGGACTTGTTAAAGTTAATTTTAAATATGACTCCCTCATGGCCACACAGTTTACTTAGTACTTTAATGGACTTTTCCTTTGTCTCTGCTCCTTTTACTTTCCACAACAACACTTGATTGAATACTGTTCCAGAAGCTAGGAGTAGGTTATTCAAGTCTTTGCCAAAGAATTGGGCAGAATATCTTTGTAAGTGATGTAAGGCCAAAAACACACAAATCAAAATCAATCTAGTCCACATCAGTTTATTCTCAGTAATCAAGAAGTAATGATAAGTTAACCCTATAAACATTTATTATGAAGCTGAGAAGGATACAGTATACTGGTTTCTTCACACTGTGCAACCTGAGATCTTATGCCTGTCTCCATGTTAAAATACCAAACAGCATTATGGGCTGTTGCTATGGCAACTGCATTGGATTTTCCATTTTCACCATGTAGCCAATGAACATCTAATATCAGATCAGGAAATGATAGCAGACTTGTTTTATTTTCAATTCTGGTATAATAACAAGACATTAAAATTATCATTTATTCCTATACCATGTGCAAAACCTACTGTATTACAAAAGTGACAAGTATTTACAGTCAAAGAACAAGAAGCTTGAGACTGCAATATTTTTTGAGAATATAATAGCCTAAATACTAAATGCAATTAATTGCATTATCTCTACTCACAGCAATTCACTTTTGATAAAAACTGCTAGTATAAAAATAAGACATAATCTATAAATATAGTGTGGGATTGCAAAAAAAAAGAAAGATCATTTTGAACATTTTTCAATTGAAGGACCAGTCAAATCCAAAGAAAAGAACCTTCTGTCAAATCATGAGAATGTTAAATATGCATAAAGTATTACTTCACAGATGCTTGAGTGGAAATGATTTCAACAACTCTCATGATCTTTTGACCAGAAATAGCAACCAATGACTTTTCCTTTTCATTAACTGCAATGACAAAGATATAGAGGATATTACATGAGCGTGTGGAGATATGAAATTTATCTTCAAGTGTTGAAAAGATCTATCACGAATGAGTGCAGCGAACGAGTGAGAGATTTTCAACATGAGAAGATAAATTTCGTATATCCAAGCACCCATTTAATATTCTGTTTATTATATAATTATCCATAAAATCAACTTAATAAGCCTTTTATTATTATAAAAAGTTTTTATCTATAAACTAGAAGAATGGTAACGATACTTTCACATTTGAAAATAACATGTTATTTTCACATATGAAAATATCAGCTCTTTTGAAAAGGAGAAATATAGGTATCTTATGGATAATTATACTATAAAAAAATGCATTAACATAACAGGGCTGTAAAAATAGAAAAATATAAGGATGTATGGAGAGATGTTGTCATTATTGTTGGAGAGATAGCTAAAAGAAAATTGGCAAGAAACGACTGAGTTAAATTTCTAATTTATTTGCCATTTGACAAATCATTTTCACCTGCCATTAGTACTATTTGGCGTGCATTTTGGCCATTTAATGGTAGTCCACTACAGTATTTCTAGCCCACTACACTATTTCTAGCATTTGGGTGACAAAGTACCTTTTTGTGTAAAGGATGACATTTCCTTAAATAATTTAAATTTTCAGCAGTAGTTGTCAATGCATGCGTGTGGTGAGAAAAAAATCTATGACTCTCATTCTGTTTATCTAATTAACGAAATTTACCACAGGTAGCCCAAGCTTGGTTTCTGTGGTGTCCTGTTATAAGGAAATGT